TATTGTGGTACTTGGACTAATGTGGCCTTTTCTTAACACCGTGGCTTTGTCATTCCTGGGATAAGCTCTTTATCACCAGACCCTACCTCGTGTTCATGGTAGGGTCATCTCCATCCTACCTTCTTTTGAAGCTTTCCCTGATTTCCCCATTTATAAATTGCTTTTGCCTTCTCAGAATTTCTATAGCTTTTATGTTGTTCAATAACTCAGTTGTGTCTGACTCTTTGTGACCCCATGGACTGCAGCACGCTAGGCTTCCCTATCCTTCATCATCTCCCAGAGTTTACTCAAACTCACGTCCATTGAGTCAGTGATGCCATCCAACCATTTCATCCTCTGTCATCCGCTTTCTCTTCCTGCCTTCATTTTTTCCAAGCATCAGGCTCTTTTGTATCAGGTGGCCAAAGTATAGGAGTTTCAGCTTCAGCATCAGTCCTTACAATGGATATTCAGGATTGACTTCTTTAGGATTCACTGGTTTGATCTCCTTGCAGTCTAAGGGACTCTCTTGGACTCTCATAGCTGTAATGGGTCTTGTCTAAATCAAAGAGTTTTATATCTGACCATTCTGGCATGTCTTGTTCTCTCATAATTACACACAGTATATCTGTTATTCTTATCTGAATAACGATTTGTTTATCCAATCCTCTGGCACAACTTTATTAAATCAGTATCTATTGACTTTCTGTATCCATACATAGTCCTGTAATTGTTATGATAAGTTAGTATTATTGCACTTTATATTTGCCACATGTCCCTGAAATGCATGGTAAGATCATGTGTGCATGTTCAGTTGCTTCACTCATGTCCAACTCTTTGCGACCCTAAGACTGTAGCCTGCCAGGCTCCTTTGTCCATGGGATTCTACAGGCAAGAATACTGGAGTGGGTTGCTATGTCTTCCTCCAGGGAATCTTCCCCACCTATGAATGGAACCCGCACCCCCTGCATTGCAGGCAGTCTCCTGCACCGCAAGTGGATTCTTTATTGCTGAGCCACCAGGGAAGCCTTGTAAGACCATAATTTCTTCTTAAATATCTCCTCAATCCACTGATTTCTCTCTCTCTCTCTCTGCTGCTAAATATCTTTATCCAAGACTACATGGTCTCTCATCCTGTCAATCATAACACCATTCTAGAAAGTGTCCCTGTATCTGTCTCCTATATTTTCTATCCTGCCTCTAAAGAGGAATTCAGAGCCATACATTTGATTCCATTCCCACATTTGGTGGAAAACTTGAAAGAACTTTGAATACATTAATGTAAATGAAGTAATTCAGATATAAAAGGACAAATATTATATGATTCCTCTTATATGAGGTACCTAGAATTTGCAAATTTTAGAGATTGAAAGCATAATGGAGGTTGCCAGAGGTAGAGGAAAGAAGGAATTGAGAGTTATATTTAATGGGAACAAAGTTTCTGTTTGACATGATGATAATGTTCTGAAACATTATTCTGATGATAATGTTCTGAAAATGAATAGTGCTGATAATCATACAGCACCATCAATGCACATAATGATATAGGAGTATGGTATTAGTTGCTCAGTTATGCCTGACTTTGTGACCCCATGGACTGTAGCCTGCCAGGCTCCTCTGTCCATGGAATTCTTCAGGCACAAGGCTGTGTTGCCATTTCCTATTGGCATAAATTTAAAATGGTTAAGTTTCTGTTATATACGCTTTATCACAATGTATGTTTACTTAGTAATTTACTTAAAAAAAGCTCAGTGGTCTTCTCATACTTTTAATATAAAGATCACACATTCCTTATCATGCTTTTAAGCCTTGGAATGACTTCTATGTATCTCTATAGTCATCTTCTGTTCCTACACTTCAGAGCATTTCAAGTATGCCCCACTTCCTTCCATCAAAGAAGCGCCCACATGTAACGCTCCCTGTTTCTGGAGCATCGCAACCAGAACTGTCCTGAGCACCATCTGTCTGCTGGTAGCCAGCACAAATTTTGCTTCGGTCATTATTACTTCTAAGAAGCCATTCCTGAGCATCCATTCCAGGTTAAATCTCTCTATGGCCCACTCTTTAAGTGCCTTGTCATTCTCCTTTGTAGTACTGGTCAGAGCTGTGTGTCTTCATAGGTGTAACTCCAAGTACTGGCTGGTTCTTTCCTCAGAGCATCAGTGACAGAGAATGGCAGAGACAGCTCTGATTCTGCTTCTAGGACAGTGCCTGCCATGTGGCAGATGCTCATGAATATATATTTTGAATGAGTGAAGTCAAAGTCACTATCTTGTGCTCCCTGTCACTTGCTTTTTGTGGAAGCCTAACCTTTTATTTGTGTGACAGCAAGCAGATGACTTTTACTAAGCATGCATTTCCAACATGTAAATAAGAAATATAGGCCAAAGCATTTCTTCTAACTCTAAAAGATGAATTTTACTGGGACAGAATCTGCTTCTTGATCAAGCAAAAAGTTGTATGCAATCAGAAATCTGCATACCATGCATGATACTTTCAATAGTCATAATCGTATACTGATAACAGTGGCTACAAAAAAGTCAAACACACATAAACTACTTATGACACACAAGGAACATTTTCATTTATCATAGCAATGCCATAAGTTGTCGCTACTACTAACAGATGGGGGTTTAAATCCACTAGATTAGGCCTAGAATCTTGAAGGAAGATTGCATTTATATATCTCTTTCCATTCTTGATGTTCTAGCATGTATGAAAACAAGACACAGTTTAAGGCCAATGTGTTTGAAAATTTTTTCTAACTTACTAAGTAAATCCATTTCATTTTTAAATGGATTTCTGCTTATCTAACTCAACTATGAATTAATCCATTGCTCAGAAAAAAATATTTAAGCTTACTAAGTGCCTAATATGTGCCTAGCAAATTTGAGCTAGGGATAAGACATATACCTAAACTTTACCTTTAATAGGCTTGCAAAATTGAGTCAGATACATTGCATCCTCACAATTAGAATATGAAACAATTAGAATATGCCACAAATATATTGTGCTATATGACCAAATACCACATGTGTGACACCATATGTGAAAGGTTTGCAAACGCAATATGTTTTAAGCTTTATAACTTTGTCTGTGCATAATCTCATGTTACCCGTACAACATTAATACATCTTTCTGTCCATGTCTCAGGAATGATGCACAAATATTAATGACCAAAACTTAATATTTAAATCCTTAGCAAAAAGCACTCAGTAAATATAGTATAATATTGCCCACATCACTCTATGTATACTATGTAGAGACTGGTAAATCTTCTGTGGCAGTCTTATTTTCCACACATCTACATTTTTAATTTTGACATCCATTCTTTTATTCCCCAAGATCAGGAAGCAAGTGACAAGACCTTTTCAACTTTTCTGAAATAAAGTCATCCACAATTAAAATGGTTTACTGGAAACAGATGGACTTCCCGCAGAGATTAACCCAATTATCTTTGGTTTAAGAGCCAGAAAAAGCCATAAGATCATTATCTTACAAGACAAGAATTTTACCATGATGCCAATCTCATTACATGAGTGAATGGAGGTGTTTAGTGATAGTTTTCCTGCATAAATATTCTTAATAGATTTAGTTTTTCAGATTCTTGGCTGCTCATTATTTTCAAATGATAGAGCTTGACAGATGAGTGGTGTGGTGCATTACAGAGGCCTGAGACTCTGCTATTTGTAGTTCCCTCCACAAAAACAAGAGAACTACTTTCCAACAGCAGGAAGAGCTTCACTTTTATGCACACTTCTAAGACTAACCAAACCAGTGTTATTTTTATTTCATTTAGGAACAGTACTTAGAGAAATCAGATATTTTTTTTAAAAAAAGAAAAAAAAAGCTTTTTTCCCCAAATACCCAATACCATAACTATTCGAAGCTTTGAGGTGCATTAAATTTTTCAAAAATAAATTCTCCTAAGGAACCTGCCTGCAATGCAGGAGACCTAGGATTGATCCCTGGGTTGAGAAGATCCCCTGGAGAAGGGAAATGCTACCAACTCCAGTATTCTGGCCTGGAGAATTCCATGTACTGTATAGTCCATGGGGTCACAAAAAGTCGGACAGGATTTAGTGACTTTCACTTTCAAGGAAAGTTAGAATTTTTATTTCCATTTTTGGAGGGTGATAGGGTGGTAGTTGTCATGAATAAAAGGGTAAGCTCATAAAGAGTGCTCTTTTTGTTTGTCTTCATATATTCAACAAATATGTGTATTTACATGTCTGATCAAGCATATATGAGGGAAGACAAAGCCTGTGCTTTATGTCAAAAGGGAAAATTAATTTGTCTGTAATGTGACAAGATGAGATGACCACTCATAAAACAAAAACAACTATGAATCTAACACTGATCCTGCAATGGGGTAAATAAGTAGCATTGGTCCTTTAAGAACTAAGATGTTAGTTCTTATAAAATTGTGTTGATTACTGATTTCTGGTTGTGAGAGCACTACAACTGATAAAACTATCATGTCAGCATTTCTAAAACTGGTGCCATTAATACCTATTATACAGAATGTTTGTAAATACCAAATAAGACAATGCCTAAATGTTTCCTAAACTGTAAAGTGTTAGTGTGAATTGCTAAAGTTGTTAGAGTGAAAGATAATTCATCTCCTTCCTCTGACACTGGGCTGACTTCTCCACTGGGCATAGTAAGCACAGTGTCTAATTTTAGGGGCCAGGGAAATCCTTTGTTTCATTTTATTTCAATTTATTTTAAAATCAGAAGAAAAATTAATATAATAGTGAATATATTAATATAATGAATTCATCCTGGATTATTATATTCATCTTATGCCAACAGAGTAAATGTATATTACTGGTTGGTTGTCTTTTATAAAACAAGAGGCAAACAAAGACAAAAGTGGTTCGGGTACACAAAAGTCATGATACAACTGTCTTCACTCTATATAAAGTTATTTACATATTTGAAGCAATCTCAGTTCTGAACTTCTCAGAATTTATGGGTTTATTTCATCATAGCATGGAGAAAGAGTCAGAGGTGAACATTCCACATTCACATATGGATGAAACACACACTAAGCTTTCTAAAATTGTTGGTAAGAGGAGCTCTGTCTGTGATGGTCCAATGGTTCTTATCTCTAAGCAAACATGGTCTTAAAAGCAAAACTCATTCATTTTCCCTTGGGTCATGTAATTTTCCTAGAAACACTGGACCTTTCTTGGCCAAGGATTATCCACTGCTTTTGTTGGCCTAAAATTTAAAATAAGGACTAGCGAGGAATAAGACAGTTTGGCTTTGTTTTCTGCTCCCACATCAGTTCCCCGTGCCCTTTGAAATGAGTCTATGAATTTTTCTTTGATCGATCTATCTACTGCTTGTTTGTTATCTACTACCTACCCATTCATATATCTATTTCTCTCTTTTTCTAACTTGTGTGCTCTCTCTCTTGCTCTCCCTATCTATTCATTCATCTATCTACCTATGTAACTATCATCTAGATATCTAAATTTTCTACTGTTTTAATGTAGAGTAATATGTAAGAAAGATAATGAGAAATAGTGCAAAGTACAATTTATATATATATATATAGTACACTTTATGTATATATGTGTGTGTGTGTGTGTGTGTATAACTACAAATTAACACTCTAAAAATTTAGTGGATGCATACATTTTTATGTTTATGGATGAAAGACATAAAAAGTGGTTAGTTATGGGGAAAATGAAGGAGGAGATAGAGAATGAAGCGGGGAAAAATAAAATAGAACAAGATGAGTTCTTTCATTCTTATACCATAAATGAATGAATGCAGCATAATGTTTCAGTATCTCTACTGAGTCCTCAGAATAATATACAGGAATTCAAAAGAAGTAGGTAGCATTGTGAGTCAGAATGGTAAGGATTACTTTAGAGGGAATGCAGAATTTGAATTCTGTCTTGAAGGAGAACTGCAATATGTATACATAAAAGGAGGGGCAGGATCTGATCCATGAAAGCAAAGAGCAGAGCAAAATCTGAGGGGTGGGTCAGTGTTAGGAAGGTCTGGGGGCACTTAGTAAATGCATTGCCATCCCAAGTATGAAAATGGAGCCCCAGGTACACCGTGGCCAGTGGAGTGGCATTTGAAAGGGCTTGTCCTCATTGTGAAACCATAGGGCCTTTTCAAATAGAGCTTTTGTGGACAGACACATAGATAATGGGGATGTTAAAATGGGCCATGTCTCTTTTCTGAAAGAAAAGGAAAAAAAAAAAAAAAGCTGCAATCTTTCCTCTCCTCTTGCTGTAACAATTCAGGGAAAGAAAAGAAGTCTATCATTCAACTGATCCCAGGGAAAAAGACAGGCAAGGTCATGTCCCCTCATACAGAGAGATACAGCCCCAGAGAGACCTGGCCTGTGATCTGCTCCCCATTAGGGTGGTGTGGCTTCTCTTAATAGGGCCTCGATCATTTTTCAAGTAGCAAATCTGTCCAGCAGAAGGCGGTGAGCTATTGTTATCATTTATTCTGATCCATGGAACCCAGTTGATAAAAAGGTTAGAAATGCCACCTCTAGACATGTACTACATCAGATGTGCTTAAAACTGCAATTCAGACAGAGCTCCAAATAGTTTCTGCCTCTCCTGTCATCTCTTGGGCAGGAATAATAACCTGCAATAATAGAGGCCCTTTTTACTTCTAGGTTAGTATTAAAGGAATGAATATAATTTACAATCTTTTTAGAAAATACATATCTACATACAGTTGCAATACAATACCTGTGAAGATAATTGAACTGATCAGTATGAATAAATATAGCATATTGTGAGAGATGAAATAATGAGGAAGAGGTAAGAAGGAACAGACTTTTATTTTAAATTTCCAAGATCATTTAACACTCACATTGGCCATTCCTATATTTTAAATATAGTATCAACTACACAGGTATATATCCTACTGTACACATCAGGTATTTTCTAGGCATTATTTAGCTTTTTTATAGTTTATATACATACTTTTTCTTCCAAAACATTCCATATTACAAAAACTTATTCTATTATTTTTATCATAATTCCTAGAGTTAAAATATGCAAAAAATGAGGCTTACATAACACATTTCTCTAAAATCTCATATCTTCATTCATAAGAATTTATTGCTAATCTGTAATGTTGTCCAGGTCCATTTAGCATGAATATGACACTAAATTCTATACTAGCTTGTCATTCCTTGAAGAACATACATTTTAATGACTGACACTAGACTAATAAAGTAGAATAGAGCTATGTAAGAGAGAACACAATAGATTAAAGGCTTATGAATACACACACAACCACCCGATTAACAAAGACTCAGCCACTGTAATCAGATTGTCCAAATGACTGCCATTTTCTGCTTGGTGCTGTTTATCCACAAAATGTCAAGAAACCAAAGAAAAGAAACATAGAAATAGAGAAAAGAAAATAATGTTCTGGTGTAAACACAAAACTGGCCCGATCTCATATACTTTTTGTATGTCTGCAAGAATGTGAATTGGTGTTACGAGCATTAGTCTTCATTCCCAATAGGTTCTTCAGTCAAATAGTATTCAGTTATGTTAGGCAGGCTGGTCTACCAAGGTCTCACAAAGGAAGAAAACACAAAACGAAAGTTGAAATTCAGTTTGAACTGACAAATAACACAAACCCCAAACAAAGTAAAGCAAATTAAACAAAGCAAGGGTAACCAGCAAGTAAAATATTGACAATGATAAGTAGGGTTGAAATCATACTAGAAAACAGATATCCTCTCATATATACAATAACTGGGTGCATCCAAAGTTAGGGATCATCAACCCATCAATTAGGGTTAGGATTAGAGTTAGGGTTAGGGTGCATCTCTCCCTAACTCTGGAGAATCATCTCTCAGGAGTGGGGTCCTGCTAACACACCCCTAGGGAATTTTCTGGAACAGCAGCTCCCGTGGTTTTGTTGTATGGGGAGAAGGGGACAGTGATGGCTTGCTTGGATTATTTTTTGTTTCTCTCATCTTGTTTTATTGTTTTAAAGTTTTATTTTACATCTGACTGTTAGAATTCTGCATTGTTGGACTGATGACATAACCACCAGGAAGTTGGCGGGCATATCCTTCAGCACAGAAGAGATGTTGAAAACTACAGAGCTTTCAGATGGCAGTTGACATAATCTATGCAGTTTCGATTAGCTTCTAAAGAAAGTCAGTTTCCTCTCTGGTTTACATCCTCTGGTGTCTGCTAGAATAATACAGGATTATTTGAGTTGGATTATACATAAAATTCTATCACTTATTCATGTTAAAATATTTTGAGTGCAAACCAGTAAATTATTATAATGGGTTTGTATAGAGTGGATAGCCGTAGGAATAAAAAAGGGAGAAGGAAATAGTACAAGACACCAAGATATAAAGAAGATTGAATATTATGTTTTCCTGTATCTGTTTAAGGAGACATACAGGAAGTAGCAAATCCAAAGTTTGGGGTCCAGGCATCCTGGAGAAATGCAGCTTTATTGATAGAGGAAAATTGAGAGGAAGAGCTGATATGTAAAGAATATAAATAATTCTATATTAATTCAATGAAAGTTAATGTCAAACTGATAAACACTAAAATAAAGAGGGAAAGAAGCTCAAGAATTTAAATACAGATGGCCATTTTAAAGTTAACTTAAAAAAGTATATGAGAAAAGTTAATGTTAACCAGATATGTAAAAGAGGGAAATAATATGCAGTTTAAAAGTTATGTAAGGTTATATGAGAGCTTAGAACACCATCTTAGAGTTTAAAGTAATCAGGCTTATTTGGGGTTGGGAATCATAATATCCTTTACCGCAAGTTTTTCCTTCATTGAATTTCCTTCACTGCATCAAAACTACTAGAATAAGGAGTATTGGAGACAGGACCTAGTCAGTAAGGAGAGGATGGGAAAAAGAATCTTCATAGTGAGGGTGAGGGCAATATTTTGCATGAAGCCTTAGTGATGCCTAAACCATCAGTAACAATTAGAAACTAAAGTCATCAAATAACAGATAAAGATCATTTTCAGTTTTTGTGCTGGATAGATCAAGGGAGGGGAATTTCGTAATTGCCTATGAAACAAATTAATGCTGTCTTATTACAGCTCAGCTATACTTTATACAATTCATATGAGTGGTAGTACACCATATTAGTAAATATTTTCCATAGAAAGTGAGACAACTGGTCCTTTGCCTGAAAGATAGCATCAAAACAAATATGTTTATGCCATATTCTTGGTTTTACCAATGATGCCTCCCACTTCCTTAGAAAAGTTATGTAGATGGATGACCTTCTTTTGTGATAAAATAACAATAATATATACTTGCAAAATTCTCATGAGTGTTTGAAGAACTATTAATACTTAGCTAATATTTGCCAAGAGCTTTGAAGATGGGAAGTGCTAAATAGTTTCACTATAATGTCATGCTTGTTCAAAGTTAATGAGTTCAGAAGGACATGGTCCACTAAATGCAAGATTTCCGGAAAAAGCACAGTATCCTTCTGTCTCACCAGGTAGATGTCAATAACATGCAGAAGTCATCTTGTCAACCAACTGAAACATGGTAAGCGCCCCTGAAATTGTATCAATCATCTCCATCACCATCACTATTCTTACCATCCTTGCTCTGCAATTCATATTCTGATGATCTACTGATGCTGTAATTTGATTAGAATTTACCTTTGAAATAACTAATTAATAAAGTATGCAAAAAATCAATATTTTAAAAGCAAAAAGGTCTTTAAAAATCAACTTTTTTATCTCTATAATACTTAATACATTTGTTTTATACACCTAGATTCTAGAGTTCTAACTAATAGGGGTAATTGACCTCTATGTTGGTACTCTATACATACAGTTTGTAGCACATTTTATTCTATAACCCAAACTTTTTGGCAAGATTTTAGATATTTTAAGACTTATGTAGGTCTGAACTCAATTAAATTAGATGCATAAAATGAAAAAAAAAAAATCACAGATTATTGATGCTGAGAGAGTCCTCATATCCTGATCATTAGCCCCTTTGCAGATATAGAACAGATCAAATCATTGCATTGATTGACAGCCACAGGTTTCTTAATCTCTCAAAATCTGTTTTTTTCCCCCACTATTCAAGTCACACACTGCTTGCTTTGAATATTATAATACTCTTACTGTAAAATACAGTTTTCTCTTTTCTCTAATTCTCCATCATCCTCAATCTTTGTGTACTTCAATATCTATCATTTATATTTTCACTTCTCTCCTGACATTACTCTTTCTTATTTCTACATCCTTTTTCTTACTATGCTTTTATATATTTTTTTCCAAAGAAATGCCTCCCTCCATTTTTGTCCTTCTACTAACTATCCAGAAAAAACATAAACTCCACTAACTATATGAAAAATAAAATCCACTCTTATAAATTTAAAATCACCTCTATGAGAAAAACACATCTAAGCCCTCTCTTGAACTATATTTCTACATTTCTAAAACTCTGTAAGAACTCTCATCTTGGGTATTCTGCAGACTTTTTCTACCCAGTGCATTTAGGAGTGAATATGTAATTCTGTCTGCAAAACTTTTCTTGCTTGTGCATTCCCTTTCTATACAATGACAAAACACTCCTCTTGGGATCTCAGATTTAAGCTCTCATCTTTATATCATTTTGATTTTTTTTTTCCTTTCCCTTGCCCATAATCCTGCCTTTTTTTACAATTTTTTTTACAATTGTTTAAATTGTTTACAATTGCAATACAGCCTTACTGAAACATCTCCCATTCATTGTCTGTTCTCCATATTAACTGCCTGAGTAGCATTTATTACCTTTTTTTTTTTTTTTGTTTTTGCATGTATTCTTTCAGTGGTTTCTTGACTGGTATCCTACTTGCAATCACTGCCAAGTTCTATTCTTCTTAAGCCTTGCTCCCATATTTATTATTCTGATGGACAACTTTAACTGTGTTTTTACTTCTGGCTCAAAAATCCCTTGGCCCCTTTTACCTTTGCTCTTACTTAGAGTTTTCTATTTTCTTTGCTCTGCTTTCTCAATTCTTATTCACCCTTCATGGTCCTGCTCAAGAGCCACCTCTCTGAAAATTAATTTCAGGTATTCATTGGGAAATAACAACTCTTCTTTCTACAAAGTTTGCTAGTTGGCCTAGGCTATTTTAACAGCCACAGTAGCAAACTCTGCCTTAGTTTTTTCTGGATTTTTCCCCTGCTCCCATGAGTATGTGCTACACAAATCTTTCCTCAGAGTTGTACAGATTCAAATGAAGGTCTGGGTTTTATTGACATTATAAAGTGCAGATGTTCAAGCTTGTTTAGAACTAAGCTTTAAAATCTAGACTTGTTCCAATGAAAAAGGAGGTGCCATGTTGATTAAACAATGGAGGCCAAATTTTCAGAGATTCAAACATTTGTTTGGTTGTATTTGTCCTCTGTGTGCATCTATGGTTTCAAATATTCTTGCCAAGACAGGGTGATGGTGGCAGTAGTAATGCTGATATGGAGTGGACAGGAAAGAAAAAAAAAGGTCAAAGAAGTCAAGCTATTTGGTTCAAGGTAAATTTCATTTTTCTTCTTGGCTTTCTGCAACCACAGTGTGATCACCAGCATTTATCTAGAGGCTGTACTGTTATTTCATAACTACCTCAAATGACAAGCAAGATATATTGCAACAAATAATTGCCCAGAATTTGAATAAACTTCCCAATTTATTTTTCTACTTTGGCTAGGTAGGGCAAAAACAGAACCTGGAGGATGACAGCAGATTACTATAATCTTAATCAGCTGGTTACTCCAATAGCATCTACTGTTTTAGGCGTGGTCTCTTTTATGAAATAGGTCAGTGTAAATTAATGTTAAGCTATTAATCTTTTTAGTACACTTTTTCTTACTTTCTCATTTGCTCTGACTACCAGAGTCTCTTTGCCTCCTTCACCTGGTATCAGTAACTCTCTTACCTCAGGGATGCTACAAATCTAATTTAGTTATGCATTGTAATCTGATCCTCCTTACCATAGAATAATTTCTGCTTACATAAACATCAAGACATATAACTCCATTATATATATATATCAGTCCAAAGTCCAAATCTCTGTAATCCAGTGGACTGCAGAACATCAGACTCAACTGTCCTTCACTATCTCCTGGACTTTGTTCAAACTCATGTCCATCAAGTCGGTGATGCCATCCAATCATTTCATCCTCTGTCATCCCCTTCTCCTCCTGCCTTCAATCTTTCCCAGCTTCAGGGTCTTTTCCAACTAGTCAGTTCTTCGAATCAGGTGGCCAAAGTATTGGAATTTCAGCTTCAGCATCAGTCCTTACAATGAATATTCAGGACTGATTTCCTTTAGAATTGACTGTTTGATCTCCTTGCAGTCCAAGAGACTCTTAAGAGTCTTCTCCAGCACAATTAAAAAGCATCTATCTATCTATCTATCTATCTATCTATCTATCTATCTATATGCATACATTCTCTTTCTTCTGGAAAAATATATTAGCCTATTAAGGTCTCACGGACTTTCAGGTCTGATACACCTAAGGCAGTGGAAGTGGGTCAGTGGGTGGGTGGTGGTTCCTCTACCGCTTTTAGAAGGGCAGCCTATCACACAGGTGGCAGGATGCATTTTGAAGGCCACTGAGCACGGAGTATTTATTCAATTTATCACAATTATAAAAGCACCTGGGCCTTATGATCATATGCTCACTTACAGAATCTGGTGGCAGAAAAATGCTTCTATCATTGTTTGGAGGACTTGGCACTAATATTGCAAGATTTTATAGAACTTCTATCAACTCTCTTGTTTCACAGAGGTTCTAGTATGTAAATCAACTCACCTAAAGCCTCACAAACAATTAATGGCAAATCAAGGATTTAAACTAGATGTTCTTTCGATATGCAGATCTGCACTCCTCTGAAGGTCATTTGATCAAAAGGCGTAAACAAATGGGGTTAACTGTGGTCATAGTGTTCCAGACAGTAATGCACCTGACCTCTTTCTAATCAGAAGAGATGACCTAGGTAATGTTCATGTACCTGTGCTTTTCTTCAACACACTATTAATGACTCCTACCTTTCTTTACATCCCTTTTCTGTCTGGTGAATTACAAGTAATCCCTCTCCTCTCTGAAGGCTCCCTAGATTTCTGAGACGGAATCCATTGTTCATCCCTGGCAGTTTCATAGCCCTCTTGACACCTCTATTAAAATACTGTGTCATTGTGATTTGTACCTATATCTGTTTTACTCATGGACTTTCATATCTTTGAGATTAGAGGCCACGACCATTGCATGTATGTGCTTCTACAACTAAACTCTGGCTAGTACAGAATTAGTACTCAAAGTATATTTGATAATGAAGGCATCAAAATAAAAGATGAGAAGAATTAATAGAGATTTTTAACATTTTATTGTTCTGCCACATGGTTTGCTTTTCTTACCCATATACACACACTAAATCTCAGCCAGTAATTGGGAGTTACTGGTGGAGGAGGAGGGGAGACAAATGGCCATCCTTCCTTCCTTTCTTTCTTTCTTTTTTGTTTTTTTTGGTATATTTCTCACAAGTGGACAGGAGTAACTGTTAAGAGAATAGAGTGAGTCATCAAGAGATTTGGACAATATTAGCTTTGACAAAATGTCCTATACTCTTACTGTGTCTCAGTTTCCTGGTGTCTCAAATGGAAATTATACTCTCTCAAAGGTATCAATGAAAGAGAAATTAAGTATTTGACATGAGGCTATTTGAAAATATATAAAAATAATGCTCATTAGGTTATTATTAAGAAAACAATGACTATAATTATGATAATGGTGCTCCAGAAGATTAGGAAAAAGGCATGGGTCTGAACCTCTAATGAAGACCTTTTTCATCAACATCAAATTATCATCAAATTGTCTTATTGAATGTCATTGCCCCAAAACTTCTCGGTTTCTTTAGTCATCAATAATCTCAGCTATCATTCAGCATTTCATCCTCTTCAATCATTATCTTTTGAACATGCAGAGGTTGCCATTTTCTACAGGAGGCATTTTGGTAAGAATCTGGGCTCTAAATGGTACTGTAAATTCCAACTTTTAACTTCTTTAGCTCTGTCACTGTATGTACATTTCAAAAAACTCACTAAATTTTAGCCACTTTATCTGTCAAATGGGAATAATAATCTAAGATGTCTTGTAGGGCTCTTGTATGATAAAATAAAATATTGATGATTTTTGCACTGCTTAGCACTAGAGTATATAATTAAAAAATAAATAAAAAGTAAAGCATTATCAGTTATCTAAAATTTCACTAGATAAGATATTCTCTGTCATCTCTTGTCATAATAGAAATTTTAATATTGTAACTTTACTTCTTTATAAGTAAAATACTTGCATAGTTAGGAAAGTACAGGATTTGAAAACAGACCCAAATTCAAGTATTGGCTCTGTCTCATATATTAATGTGTAAACTGGATGATAAGTGAATTACATAGCACATGATATTTTTCAGCTAAAATGAGCAACATATGTAAACTTTACATGGTAGCTTTACAGTAAAAGTCACATAATGATAATAAAAAATGTTGGTGAAAATAACAGTAAAATGTTACACCCACGTTGTGAGACTTAATATTCTGGCTTTTAACACTAAATGATCTAAGCAATGAACATTTCTTCATTAATTCCCTGCAGCAACCCATTTGACAGACAAGAGAACTAAGGGTCTGGAAGGTTTAGTGACTTCCCTGAAATCTTATAACCAAAAAGTGGAGGATATATATTCAAACTCCAGTTCTCAGACCCTGGAGTCCAGGCAGACAGTGACATTGTGTTATGTTAGCCTGACAATAAATAATAGCTATAATTGGGTTAAATCTCCTGCAGTACTCAAATATTCTTAGAAAGGCTAACACCAGCTTGTTTCCTCTCAGATAGAGCATTCTGCGGAGGACCTTAGCAGTAAGTAGAAGATGGATCTGAAGTGGAGGGTTACCCCAGAGCTCCGCAGTTAGAAAGAGATGAACAGAAGTACAAGGGTCCAAAAGTAAACTGTGAGTTGGGACTAATTTCTCTCACTCTTTACTGCTAGTTACTCCATTTCACAGAATGGGACAAGATAATTCTCCTGTAGAATTGGAGCCAGGCACTAATCCCCGAGAAGCCTTGGGGGTCCATAATCTTGACTGAAAGATGTGGCCCTGAGACCCCTGAGACGTGGCCTTGGGGGCCGTGGGACCACACCGTGGCCGCAGGTTCTTGCCTTCCCCATCTGCCGGGGCTGAACAGCTTGTGGACGGGAAGTGGTGTGGTGTGAGGATGAAAAGGTAAGGATAGTAGGGGGCCATAGACCATGTAGAATAGAACACTGTCTGTCCCGGTAATTACGGCTTTTATGTCCCTCTTCTCCTGCAGTTGAAATGTTGTCCCCACAGTAGAAGAGGCCGGCCGCCCGGGCAGCAGATGGGAGAGAGCTTGCCCTGTGGACCCGGGTCCCCGTCCGCCGGCGGCGGCGATGGGCGGTGGTCCAGGCCAGCCTCCCTGCGCCGGGAAGAAGCAGCGGCAGGAAAACTAACGCGACTGCAACGACAGGCCGCCCACGGATAACAGCGAACACGGGTCTTGACGTGGATTTTCAAAATACTCAGTTCTTGAGGGGAAACACGTTATTAATGGTAGGAGAGCCAGAGGAACAATAAACTACTTAATGTTATTTGCTTTTAGGTCCGCGTCCCCAGCACTAATGCTGCGTTCTTACTGATGACTCTCGCTCAGCTTTTCACTTCTTTGGCGGTGACCAGCTATTCAGTCTGTTAAATCTCCTTCCTCAGTCCCCAGACTCATTTGAGGGCTCGGCACTTTCTCCCTCCCCCTACCACCTGCTAACCTACCTTTCTAAAGCCCTTTCCTTCCATTTGTTCTCTAAACAAAACTCCGCAGCCATTGCCGCACTTCCTTTCCAGATGCTGCTAACAACAAATTATTCCCTACGGGTTTTAGCTAGGATTTCACCCCTGTTCCATTTGGCTCACAGGACACATTTGTTGAACTAAAAAGCCTTTTAACTGCTTTTTTCCCCCTCCTCGGGAAAACTCATAAGAGCACAGTTTCTCTCCCCACAGCAACTGACAGGCTCCAGAAATAATGAAACACAGAAAAAAAAAAAAAAAAGATACATCTATCAAGCAAAGCTTTGATAGTTGACCTATTTGGTCACTATCTCTAACTGTAACTCCATATTATTTTCTTTTCTACTTTTTGTTCCATTTAAAGATTTATGTTTATATTCATCTGGTAAACAGTGAGGATAGGAGGACATCATCTGATTAATTCTGAATATTTAGTGACCCTGAACTTAAATTCAACTGCAGAATGTTTTAGGAATATGAATAACCCTGTTTTTAAATTTTTTGCAGGATGCTCATAGTATTGTAAATAGATAGCTCAACAACAACAATAAGAAAAAAATGCGTTTCTGCCATTGCTATTGTTCTGTATTCATTTTGTTTTGTTGTGGTGTTCTGCATTTTAGGTACACAGCAAAAGGATAAACCCTAGAATAAGAGCAAAACTAGTTATTTGAATAAAGTTATTGGAAATAGAGAAAGTACTATCTGTTTGTTATGGTTCTGTGCAGCTTCTATTACCTGGCATGCATTTTTCTGATGTCATGAACATCCTAACTCTTAAGAAGTTAGTATGCATGTTAATTTGCAAGTAATTTTGGTGAGGGTTAAAGCATGGAGCCCAGTTGTCAACATAATATGTATCTGCTGCCCTTGACTTAAGGACTCTGATATGGCCAGATGTCGTCCCCACTGAGTGACAAATTCAGGGTCTGAGATCAACGTGATTAGACATTTGGCTTTTTCTCTGTTGGTTGGACATGCTAAATAAATAAAGAAAAATATATACTTGTATATTAAGAATATTTAATTAAAATATCTACAACCTAAGCTCCAGGGATCCCCAAAAGAGACGTTGTTGACTTCAGTACATGCTACAGTTAAGTTCATAGAAGAAAGACTAAGAATGAGAAATTGAGTATCCTGTTCCTTTTATTTTTTCTTTCCTTTCTGTTTAATGTGAGCCCCTGGGTGGGAGAGGGGAGAGCTGTGACAGCCATGGCCACTGTTGGGTTATGTTTCTACTGAGCCTAGAACAGAGACATGTCACAGCAGGCACTCTGTATTGATTAACTGATGCAAACTAGTAAAGTAAAAGGTGTCAATGGTCAAGATGCAATAGGCAAGCTAATTACCCAGAGTGGGTGAGCTGGAACTTCTAGTAATGCAACAGAGCAGAAATTTGCACAAAAAAAAAAAGTCCTTTATTGCTCTAAGAACTATCAGCCCTCACCCTTCACCTTGGGTCACAGGAAAAAAAAAAAAAGAATACAGTAGGAGCTCAGACTGGATTGACTTTGAAGTTTACCTTGACAACATTTTTCTAAAATGAGAGTTAGGATTTTCCTGAAAAGATTTTAATTGTGAATATGTTAATTATTATTTATTCTAATGACTTGGTACAAGGAAATGATAAGATGGCAGACTTTGGGTTGATATAAAAACAACAGCAAAACAAATTTAGAAACATTAAAATGACTTAAAGTGTCTTAAGACACAACTTGGGCTCCCTCACTGAAAGCTTTGAAATAGAACCTGGAAGCCTTATCATTGATGAATAGAAGCCTATGGTAAGATGTGGGATTAAGTCATCAGAAAAATCTCTTTAAATCTAAAATTCCTCCATTCTGCAAACCCCAAATAATCCAACTTGAAATGTGGACGTCCTAAGACATGATTCATCACTCCTTATAGTTCCATAGTATGCTGAAACCATCCGATCTCCAAGAGACCTTCCTCAAAAACTTATTTCTACTTAATTTTCTTGGTTAAAAAAAAAAAAAGGATTTACAATGGCCAAATCCTAAAGAAATGACCTGGAAGACAAGAAAAAAGCAAGGTTTTAGGAGGAAAGGAGAGAATGATGGAAAGATCTGGATTATCAGCTCAAAGCTTATTTAATAAGTGAATGATCTTACAAATTCTCTGAAACATGTGCAGTGCATGCCTCACTGTGTCCAACTCTTTGAAACCCCATGGATTGTAGCCTGTCAGACTCTTCTATCCATGGAATTTTCCAGGCATGAATACCAGAGTGGGTTGCCATTTCCTCCTCCAGGGTATCTTTCCCACCCAGGGACAAAACTTGGTCTCTTGCATCTCCTGTATTGGCAGATTTTTATCTCTGCACCACTCTGAAACATAAAGTGCATAAAAGGACACTAGTCAGATAACAAGAGATGAAAATAATTTTAATGTGATCAGAATCAAGAGCCCATAAAATATGCTTATTCAATAAATTTTTTAATATCAATATTGTTCTATTAAACAACCTAGAGGCCTTTCACTATAAGCCCAGCCACATCAATGAGGAAAGACCAATAAATGCACCCACTATTTCTTGGGCAGTTATTCATAAATGTAAATAAAACAAGGCAAATATGGAAAGCCAGATCCAGACCTAGGGATGAGTCATTTTAAAGAAGCAAATTCTGGCCCTGGGCAAACATAGACACCCAGAACTCCTGTGAGCCCTCAGTCTTCTCATTTTGTAGGAGAAAAGTACATTCCTAGTTTAATCTCTCTAATTAAATAGCAATACTCCTAAAGCTTTTGAGTTGGTTACATCCGAAAGCAATGAAACCCAGGATTCCTTCACTCAAAGAATCCCCCTAGTTATCTGTCTTCTAGGTCACATATCACAGGAGAAACCCTTAGGGCTGAATTTTTAAAAGGCAACTGGGCTTTTTCCTGTGAAGATGGCAGGTTTCTTATGTATTGCATTGGACAATGACATAAGAATTTCCAGCATGAAAGACTCCTCCTATCCTGTCCTACCCTCTTGAAATGATCAAAGGTTTAAAGAATATTCATGTCCAATCTCTTAATGGTACAGAAGCTGAAATATATGTGGGGATACCCAGGAGATTTTTAAAAAGTGCTGCAGGTAAAGTTCTCACTGTCAAAAGCTTGGTAAAGCTTGCATCTTGGATGGTGTTCTCAAAATGAAGATGAAATTTCAAGATTGATTGGCTCAACTGCTAGGAAATCGAAACTTTTTATAAGTTCTCAGGCATTGTTCACAGACTTTTACTTTGAGTCTCCCCTAAAACATTGCTTTTCATAGTTTTTCCTGGCTTCTGAGAGCAGGCTAGAGTTCTCTTTTATGCACTAGTTTCCATGCAGAGTATTCAAATTATAAACTTCATGAGGGCACAAACTTTGTCTGCCTTGTATGTTAGCACCAAGCACTGGGCATGGCATATAATAAATACTTAAATTTTCTTTGATGAGTGAATTATTAAATAAATTAATTGCTTCAGAATAATCTAGGTAGATTTTCCAGTTAATTTTAGCTGTTTCTAGCTTGGAATAAGAGGGAAAATAAGCATTGTTTTTCTTTTTTTTTTCCTAATAAAAATGTTGACATGATTTTTTGCTCCTTCTGTAACATGATATTAAAATTACATTGCCATTAAGGATGTTGAGAGGGCCTATGGACATAAGCTACACAGTGACTGAGCTATTTCCATTTCAGAATAACCACATTTATATAAAGCTTTACCAATAAAACACATTGGTAAAGCTGCAGGTGGTGACTGCAGCCATGAAATTAAAAGATGGTTTGCTCCTTGGAAGAAAAGCTGTGACCAACCCAGACAGCATATTAAAAAGCAGAGACATTAGTTTGCCAGCAAAAGTGTCTAGTCAAAGCTATGTTTTTTTTCAGTAGTCATGTATAGATGTGAGAGTTGGACCGTAGAGAAAACTGAGCACCAAAGAATTGACACTTTTGAGCTGTGGTGTTGGAGAAGACTCTTGAGAGTCCCTTGGACTGCAAGGAGAGCCAACCAGTCCATACTAAAGGAAATTAGTCCTGAATATTCATTGGAAGGATTTATGCAGAAGCTGAAACTCCAATACTTTGGCCACCTGATGTGAAGAACTGACTCACTAGAAAAGACCCTGATGCTGAGAAAGAGTGAAGTAAAGAGGAGAAGGGGATGACAGAGGATGAGATGGTTGGATGGCATCATCGACTCGATGGACATGTGTTTGAGTAAGCTCCACAAGTTGTTGATGAACAGGGAAGCCTGGAAAGCTGCAGTCCATAGGGTCACAAAGAATCGGACATGACTGAGTGAACTGAAATGAATGTGTTTTATCTTCTCCACATTATTTAAAAAAAGATTCAATAGTTTGTTTTAACAAAGAATTTCTTAAAATCATGTATATTAGAGTATCTTCATCTTTATACATATCCAGCTGGGAACCATACATAAATCATCACTGATCAGAACTCAGCTCTATCCCCATTTGCACAGAACTCAAAGGGCTGGCTGGTGCTGATGAAAACCAGGCTGGAATTTTTCTTCTAGGATCTTGAGCAATAATGTGTTCTTTATCTGCCTGCAGTTCTGCAGTTGCACTGAG